CCTAACACTAATTGTAATTCTAATAACCATACCTGGTCTTGGCACTGGCATTCCAACCCTAACCCTAGTACCTGCATCACATATTCAGAACCTAATCCTAACCCTAATACTCAGACCTCAGTACTGGGGTATTTGTACTCCAAAACTATCCCTATCAGAACCCTAAACATAATTCTAGCCAAAGCTCTAACAATAAATCCCTCACCCCAATACTCAGGTACTTTGTGTTGCAACACTATCCCTAAGCCCAACTCTAACCCCAACCTAAACCTAATACTAGAAAACTAATACTGAGGTAATTATGCCCCACACAGTCCCTAACCCTAACTCCAGCCCTATCATTTAGCTATTGTCTTATTACTTTCTCCTCAACATTTAGCTCTATCAGATGTCAGTGATTTTCTGGCAATGATGAAATAGTTTTATCTACTCTGTTATGCTTTGTGTCTAGATGTCCCCCAACAGGCTCATGTAATCGGGGCAGCTTCTAGAGTTTGTGATTGACTGGGATTGCTGGGATTATAGTTGTGAGCACTACACTTGCCCCGGGGCAGATAGTCTCAGTACAATGTAGCAGAGAAAAGCTTGATAGCAGCCCTGGCAGTTTCTCCTTCTTTAGCTTTTTGCTGTCTTCCACCACCATGAACTGCTGCCCTTTTGGATGTATCACTCTGCCTTGGAGCCACCTGAGTATGGACTGAAACCTCTACTAACTGTGAGATAAATAAACCTTTTGTTTCTTAATTTTGGGCATTGGGTGTTTTGTCCCATCAATGAGAGAAAAGTAACTGAGACACACTCTATACCATTCTTGAGATACTTAGATAAAGAAGAAAACGTGGAAAGAGTTTTAAAAAATAATTTTTGTTCTCCCAGGGCTTTTGTTATCACAGAATCAGAATCTTAGAAACTGGTAAGAACAAATAAGGATCAAAAAGTCCAAGACACTTACTTGAGTTGTAGGATTTTTTACTAATGATTTCCCAGAGGAGGTGATGCCTACATTCTGATAAGCCAAAGAAAAGAAAAAGTGTGTGTGTGTGTGTGTGTGTGTGTGTGTGTGTGTGTGTTAAATTTAGTTAGATAAAACAAGGAGGAAAATAACCAGCCAGAGTAGGGCAGAGACCAGACAGCATCCCATGTTCAGAGAGTTGGAGTGACTGTTCTTTAAAAGCAGGCCAGCAGTTCTGTTTCAGGAATGAGAAACAATTCTGAGGCAGAGCACAGCCGTGAGAGTCCCAGTGTAATGATGATTGGGCTGAAGACTCCAGTTTGACCTGTGGGAGTTGTAATCTCAGTTTTCTTATCCAGGAGTGAGACACTCAAGACCTCTTCTGTGGAATCAGCGGGGCAGGCATCACCTGGGTGGTACAGCCTCCCACATAAATAGAATTTCTTATCCCAGGTTAGCACTTATTTTATTTAGTATTCTTTATAAACTGTGCTAATTTACATCTATAAATTTTTAAGTTAATTTCTGTTAAGTCAATTTTCTGAAGATTTTTTTTTTTTTTTAGAACCAGGGATTGAACTCATGGCCTTGTGCTTGCCAGGGAGGCGCTTATTCCACTGAGCCATCTCCCCGGCCCCTGAAGATTTTAAATGTATCTAGGATGTGAAAAAAATAAGAATATAGTTGTAAGCTGTAAAGAAAAGCACATGCAATTCTTTTCAAGAAATGACAGACTTTAACAAAGCTGAAATTTAACATGAGGAGTTCAATAGTGCAATTCGGTTGTCACAGTCCAGAGCCACCTTCCCTACAGACCTCATTCAGTTTTAATTGTCTTTATTCTGCTTCTCATCCTTTGTCTACCTAGGTGCTTCTCTCTGTGTTTCACTTTGTTTTGCTAATAATATGTATGGCTTTTTTCTAGTTTCTCCTTCCCACTTTGACAGGCATGTACCTTTCTGATTTGTTTGCATTTTTCTCTTCAGGTTTGCTTTTCCATTTCTATTTATAGTATGACTTCCTTTTGATACTATTAAGCCTTAATTTTCTCTTACACCTTCTTTATTTTCAAAAAGGAATAAAATGAAACCAAGAAGCATTAGTATTTTACACTACGCAATAATGACTACACATGTAATGAGTGGAATGAAATACTTACGATGTATTTATTATTATCTGTCCAAGTAAAATCAGATCACCAGAATTTTGAGAGTTCATTGAGAATACAGAATATAGTTTATGAACTGAAAAAGCTCCCACTGAAGAACAGAGAAGATGTCGATTCTGTAACACACAGTATAATTCATAGAGCATAGAGGAGCCCAAAAGCCCATATTTTTTTTTTTTCATGATTGGCTGCCATACGTAGCTTTTAAAGGCAAACAACTGTTTAAACTGATTTATCTATAGCTCACTAGCTTAATTTCTATACTTATAAGGACAAGAAAAAACTAAGATTTATTATGTATGGATACAAATTCTCTATGATGAATGTGATCATTATGCGTATCTAAATTGTTTCAATAAAATTAATTATAAAAAAGAAAAGTAGTGTTTTGTTTAGGACTAGAGTTTTTAAAATTACCTAAGCAGCTGGCTCTGGGGTTTCTAAACTTTGGCCTCCAGTTTTATTTATTTTTAAGACGTCTATAATACACATGTCTACGTAGTATCCCATCTTGACAAGGTCTCTAACCAGACTTCATATTTTATTTTACTTTTGTTGACATTTTTAGTAATTTTTAATTTGCTTAAAAGTAAAATATATATGGTATTTTAATTTTGTGAACACTATTTTATTTTCTCCATATTTCATATTTTTAGCTGAAAGTTGACTACTGTTTGAACAATTAAAGAAAACAAGAAAAATGCTGGCAGTTCTGTGGATTGGAATAACAAGAACTTCAGTTGTTTTTATTTAATTGATGCAGCTTTGTGCAAATAAGATTTATTTCTACATAGTTGGAATAAGATGGGACTTTGGGGGAATACATTGGTTCATAAAAATGAAAATAAATATTCAACATTTTCATGCTCTTTTTTTTCTCAGGAAGTTCAGTATAATTTATTTTTTTTTTAAGAAAAAATGCTTGCTTTCAAACAAGTTCACTTTTCCAATGGGACAGAAATTTTACATCCCTTCTTCCAAATGCTCTGAAACAAAGAAAGAAAATTGTAAAGAAATTTATTGATCCTGTAACAATATCACATAGTTTTGTGTTACTGCTTTTAATAAGGATTACAGCTCTTACCTTTGCCAATGGAGAAGGCCTCAGCAATGGTCACTGAGCTTACCACCCTCTTTCCTGTCAGGGCCATAAAATCCTTCTCAATCTACAAGTTTTGCTCTCAGCAACTATACTTGAGTTTTAATTTTATATGTTTTGTTTATAACTTACAGATTTTTTAAACATAGAGATGGGGAAGTTTTAGTGGAATCTTGTGCTCAGGGGAGGAATCTCTTCCATAAAATCCCTGTCATTCAAGAATGCAATGAATTGTCATCTGAAGAATTGATGGTATCATGGAAATGTTCATGAACCACTTGGCTTTCAATAAGCTAAAGAGTTACAAGACAAATGCCAAAAGCAAAGAACAGACTTCTGAGCTCTTACCATACACTAAGATTAATGTGTTACCCTCTGGAGGAATTATTACTAGCACAATATTAGTGGCAAGGTCTGAAATTTGATGAATTCTCTGACTTCCGCTAGGAGATATGGATAGGTAGTAACCTAGCCAACTGCAAGCCCAGGTACTCTAAATTAGAGTCCCTTGGCAGATAAATTGTACATTTTTAGAGATCCAAAGACAATCTTTCTTTAATCGCAACCAACCAGCCCCAAATCTATCCTTTGGAGCCAATCAGAAGTTGATCAATTCTGCTTCTTAACTAGTTGTATAATGAGTACTAATTGAGCACCTCCCAGGTGTTAGTATTAATTTCAAGTGTTCTGTTTTCCTGTCTTCACATACTTTCTGGTGAGGCAGAGAAGCAGCAGAGCGGAGCCCTGAAATGTAGATTGTCTGGAGTTATGTCTTGCTTCTGTTTATCATTTCTGTTCTTTTGGGACATGCAGAATGGTCCTATTAAACATGACAATTTGTAGGATGCAGTGATTTAAATTCTCTTTACCATAGCAATGCTCCTCAATGTTAAATGTACCCTTCAAGTGTCCTCTACTCTCACAGCCAAGGTGCTGGAAGCCATTTTGCATCCACAACTTCCTGTTGCCAGGCATTGGGAGAGTGGTTAGGCTCTGCTGGTTTGACTGAGGCACTGGGCAGACTACAGCACCCTCTAGTGGTCAGAGTTAAACCTGAAACCTGTATTATATGGTAAATATCCACGTTCTACAGGCTAAATTTTTTCTGGAGGTTAATATTGCAAACTTCAAGTAACTAGGAAAAATCTACAGTCTTACTCTACTACTTACTGTTCACCTTAGTAACTAAAGAGAATTACCTCGCCAGGGAAGGATTCCAGCAATGTCCAGCAATTGATCCAAAGCATGCTTGAGAAAGTACAGCTTTATCTGTTGGTTTGTTTGTTTCCTTAATAATTCAAATTCCCTTTGTGGTTCCTAATATAAAATTTCCATCTTAATATTAATAAAGCTATGGGAATAAGTTCTGTTCTAGCAGACAAAAAGCTATATGCCTAAGTACATAGTCTTGTGCCAGGCAAAACAGATGCACAGTTGAATCTCAAGGCAACTGAAAACAATTATTTGAATCAGTGAAATGTGTTGGGTAACATGTTTCTGGACTGAGGATTTTTCACCTGTTGCTTAAAATCATGCATAATGTTATGTGGGATTAGACGTGTTCATGTTCTACTTTGTCCTGCTTTTTTAGTATCTAGGATCACATATGCTGAGGCGAAGTCCTCCGAACATGAAGAAGATGGAAGAAAAGACAAGGTATTGGGAGGGAAACTGAAGTTACAGGGGTGGTGCATTGGCCAGTCTATCCTGATGCCTGTCCAAGTACCCGTCCCTGTATAATCATACATACACTTGAGGAAAAAAAATTGAGAAGAAACAAAGCGTATTCAGATGCTTTTATTCAATGATCAGGCCAGCCAACCTTCTGGTAACCTTAAGAGATTTTGGAACCTTGGTTCTCAGCAAGGCCCAGACTTTCTGATAAGGACAGCAGTCTGGCGCTTCCTGTAGAAGAAATTTGAAAAACATGGTCAACTTAAATTTTACTGGCCAAAAAGTAATGATTCATTCTCATTTTTCTGTGTTCCATTCATTTGTTCATTCATTTGCTTATTCATCAAATATCAGATTATCACTATGACATTTACTAGGGTTATAGGAGAAAAGGGAAAAAAATCTCTTCTTGCTGAGTTTATAGGTCTAATAGGAGGTGTTAAATGAAGCCCTGGAATTAATCTGAGGTCCTTTGTTGCATCATTTATTCCTGATTTTACTCTGCCAGCTAACAGGTTTCTATCTTAGTCATTCTGGGCTACTGCTGAGCCTTCAAATTGGTTGCCATTTCCACTTTGAAGACCATGGATCCAAAGTCTTTCAAAAGGAAATTCTGTGTCCACCTCAAGTGGTCCCTCTAGTTCTAAGCATCTTCTCTAGAAAACAAAATCCTCTCTGCTCTCCCCTTCCCACCTTTAAAGTTCTGTAAGCTAAATGTCCCTAAATCGTGCAAGGGTTTTTAATAAGACTGTATGCAGATCTTTCATCTTGTCTAACTATCCTTTCCTTGAAAATACTAGCTTACATACATTTGTCTATTTCTTTGTTCCTGGAGAATATCTGTCATACATTTTATGGACCTCATTGATTCATTTTTAAGTGGGCTTGGTTTTGTTGTCCCATAATCATTAAGTACTCATGCTACCAATTTCCAAATCAGTCACATAGTAGGCATAAACACCAAAGCAGACCATATGACTTTCACGTATTTTTCATAGCAATGTAGTTTACTGCAGTTCAGTATGTTCAATATCCATTTCTTGCTACTTGAAATTAAACTAAAACTTAAGTGATATTAAAAATTCAGTTTCCTAGTTTACCTATCACATTTAAGTGCTAATGGCTAGTGAGTTGTGGGGAGTGCATTATATAGCAGAGCTATAAAGCCTGCCTGTCATTACAGAAAGTTGTTAGACCTTGCTCATGTATAGAAAAGAGTTTGGCAATATACATGCCCCTAGAAGATGTATGAGAAACAGAAGTCTGAAAAACCCAGGAATCCTTATTAATAATTGCTTCCAGAGACAGTGATTGAAGAGATGACTGTTTGCATGTGAATGTTTAGTATTATCTGCTAATCTCAAAACCTGATAACTAGGGTAACAGCCTGGTTGTGGTTACTATGCAAAGTGCTTGAAAATTTTAATGAATGATATAAATGAAAGTGTGATAGTTCATGAAGAACTACAATGTATGCAAGACCTGTCTTATTTGTTTCCCAACCTAAGTTTTCTTACCTGAGAAATATGAGTACAGATGTACATTTTCTGGTAGTGTTCCTCCAAAATTTATATACGTTTGAAAGAATTAGAGAGACCAAGCTGAAACTGACAGGTTTCAAATGCCAAAGGCATAGGTAGGTGCCCTAGTCCTCTGGTCATACTGTCCTAGTGTTTCACTCTAAGTACTGGGCCATTTTATCCAGGTACATGAAAACTTTCCAAGTCTCAAAGCTTTTTTGTTGTTTTCTCCTCCTCTTGGAAAGAACTATGATGTTTGATGTTAACGTCAACAGTATAGGTCATGAGAAAATTAGCAAGTAGTTTCAGATTCCTTTTAAAAAGTCTTATTGTTGAAACAGATTCACCACAAAACAATATACCTAATGTCTGGGGCTTAAAACTTGAGATTGTCTCTTACCCTAGAGACTAATCTTTTACCATCCTTGCTAAACTCTGAGTATTTTCTGAGATGGTTTAAAACAATCTGAGAAGAAGATTTACGTTTAAGGAAGGGAATTCAAGCTGGGCAATAACAGAACTTGCAAAAGCGTTTGAACTCAAGTCAAGATCTTTCATTTCAGGTCAACCCCAGGATAACTAAACGTTTTCTAGGTCACTTGTGAAATATATTTGATTTGCTTTCATACTTTCACATGCTTATTGAACCTAGAATACTCTTTTTAGATGCTACCTAAAGCTAGAGCCTTGCTTATCATGTGTTCTTTCCCAAAACCATTCTTAACTCTTGACTCCTTTCTATTTCTTTCTACTCCTGAAGCACTTACCCCTTATTTGCTCACATTTGCTACAAGAAGTTATCTTACATGTGCTCATAACCTATTTTCTCTTACTTATAAGCAGGAAGGAAACGGACAACTAACATAAAGCTTGGCACATGGTAAGCAGATGTGTTGGGCAAAATAGTAAATGCGTGGCATGTTTGTTTCTCTGATTGCCTTGAGATTAATTATGTTCACTTACTTAGGGCCACTTTAGAAAATGGAAATTCATTGTTATAGAAGCACATTTTTGGTTATACAAATCTAAAAACTTTCTAAAAGGCTTAGGAAGACAAAAATCACCAGCCAGGCTTGGTGGCACACACTTTTAATCCCAATACCCTGGAAGGCTGAGGAAAGCTGATCACGAATTTGCTGATAGTACTTGGAACTTAATGTTTGAGAGGGACATCTTCACAAAACAAAATACCTAAGCTACACGTGTAGCTCAGTGCAAATCCCTAGGTTCAATACCAGGTATTGAAAAGAATCACTGTTATTATCAAGAACTGTATTTTTAAAGTAAAAATGGCATTTTATCACAGTAGCATTGTAGCATAATTTCAAGTCAAGGATTGTGATGCTTCCTGCCTTGACTTTGCTGCTCAGGATTATTTTTGCTATTCTCGGTGTCTTCAGATAAATTTTGGGAATGTTCTCTCTAGATCTGTGAGGTACGCTAATGGTATTTTGGTCAGTATTGTATTTAATCTGTATGACAATTTTTGGAGAAGGGACATTTTCACAATCACCATGGCACTGGAAGAAAGAGTCCCTAGGGTCAGTGGAACATGTCAAAAGATGCATAGATGCACACATCAACAAACACACTCAGCCACCTTATCTTTGACAAAAGGGACGAACATGTTCCCTGAAAGAAAGATAACCTCCTTCATAAATGATGCTGGAAAAACTGGCTCTCCACATGTCCAAGACTAAAACTAGAAGCATGTCTATCACCATGCACTAAAGTCAAAATGGATCAAAGACTTAAATATTAAAACAAGAGCACTAAATTTACTAGAAGAGAAAGTCTTGAACACAGAGGCATAGGCAGAGAGTTCATGGACAAGAAACAAACTGCACAGGAAATACTTCAAAGAATCAACAACTAGTATCTCATCTTATTGAACAATAATTACACATCAAAAGAAATCATCAATAGAGTAAAATAAACCACTCAAATTGGGATAAAATTGTATACAACTGTTCGAGACAAAGCACTTCTCTCAAGAATATATAAACAATCAAAAAAAAAAAATGAGACCGCCAAAATTCAAAGACCCAATCCATAAATGGACATGTGAGATGAATGCACACTTCTTAGATGAAGAAAGAAAAATGACAATAAATATATGAAAAAATGTTCAACATCATTAGTCATTTCAGAAATTCAAATTAGGATAGGGCTGAGATTCCATCTCACCCCAGAAAGGATGCTATCGTCAGGAAGTCAGCCAACAGGCTGAGGAGATAGCTTGGCAATCTAAGCACCTGCCTGGCAAGCGCAAGGACCCCAGTTTGATCCCTGGTGCTGCAAGCCATGCCACATCATGCCAGCCACCAACACTGGAAATGGTGGTGCATGCCTGTAATCCCAGCACTGGGGAGGCTGAGACAGGAGGATCACTATGAGTCTGAACTACGTAGAAAGACTCTGTACCAAATAAATAAATAAAAGATTAAAGAAATAAAACAAATAAGTCAACCAATAACAAATATTGGAGGTGCTGTTGGGAAATAAGAAAACTTCTCTCCAATGTTGGTGGGAGTGTACACTGGCACAAACACTATGGAAAATAGTATGAAGATTTTATGTAATCTGAAAACTAGGACTAGAGGTCCTATTCACCTAAGCTATTTCCTTTCAGGGTATTTTCCAGAAGAACTGAAACATCATTCCTCAGTGATATATGTGCACGCATGTTTATAACAATGCAATTTGTAATAGGTAAATCTTGCAAATAACTCAGATGCCATTAATTGAGGGATGGATACAAAAGATGTGGTATATTTTTACAATGGAGTATTACTCAGGTATAAAGAAAGATAAGCTCAACTCTTTTATAGGTAAATGGATGCAACTCGAGACCATACTCATAGGTGAAATAAATCAGATCTGCATGTGTAGACATTGCATTGTCACCCTAGTGTAAGACCCTGAAAGAGTAAATAAAATCTGAAAGGTACAATAAATATTGTGAAAAGAAAAGAAATTGCTCAAAAAGAAAGAATAGCTGGGATGAGGGAAAGGAAAAGAGAAAGAAAAAATATATATATATTTGGTAGCTAAGATAATTGTACTACTAATTTCTTTTCATTTATTTATTTATTAAATGCATTTAGTACAGGGTCTATAGAGTCTCGCTACACAGAAGAGACTCGTGGTCATCCTCCTGTTTTCAGCCTCCCAAGCACTGGGATTACAGGTGTGTGCCACTGTGCCCACTCTCAATTGCCATCTCAGAGTGCCACAGGGGCTGGGCCAGCACTGCAAGCCTGGGGATCAAACCCAGGTGCCCAAATCTGCCTCAGCAGGCGCTTTAATCTGCTGAGCTATCCGGCCGGTCCTGTACTACTAATTTCTCTTGGTTTATTGAAAGGAACAATGGATGCTTAATGTTTTTGATGAATTTTGCATGCTTATCTCTGGTAATCTGAACAACTAGTTTGAAGACAATATGCACTATAACATTATTGAATTCCTATCATAGCGTTTTTGTTTTTGTTTTTTTTTTAATTGTGGCTTTCTTATTATTGTTTACTCTCTTTAAAATTAAAAAGTAATGAAGGACCGGCTAAATGGCTCAGTGGATTAAAGAGCCTACATGCAGGCTCAGGCACCAGGGGTTTGATCCCCCAGGCCTGCAGTGCCGGCCCCGCTCCTGGGGCACGCTGAGTCGGCAATTGAGCCTGGGCATGGTGGCGCACCATGTAATCCCAGCTCTTGGGAGACTGTAAACAGGAGGATCACTATGAATCCAATCTAGTTGTGAGACCCTGAACACCCTGTAGACCCCTAAATAGATAAATGAATACATAACATTAAAAAGTAAAATAAAGTTAATGGCATTTAGTGCATATAGGCTTTCAAAAATCCAAACTACTATAAGATTCTGAGTTTTTATCATGTAAGTGATTTTACGTCGTATTTTCACATCATATATGCAAAAAGGAGAAAAAGGAAAGTTGTTTTTAGAAGATACAGATTCTTTCTTTCCCTCATAAGACTAATGCTATTGATACACTGATTAGGGTCTTAGAGAGATAAGACATAAATGTGTGATAGCAGCGCACTGAACCGTACTTCCAGATTTCAGGCTCCTGCTTACCTATTTTCAGCACACAGTACACACTCGTTGCTGTATGTAGTGCCATCGGTCCCACAGACAGGATCATACAGCTTGGGACATCCAGCCATGGCGTGATCACAGTTAGCCTAGAAACGGAATCAAAATAACATTTTCCCATCATTCCCTGTTCTTTGAGGTTATAGCAAAATCTCATGTGATTTTAACATCTCTGGGAAAGGACATGGGGAAAATGATATGGAGTGTTCCCAGAGAAAGTATGTAAGACTTGGCATCAGAAAAACATGAATTTAGGGAATGATGCCATTTACAAACTGTGTGACATGGGTAAGTCACTTTGTGTACAACACGGGAACAGTACTGCTGTTCTTCCACCCCTGCTATAGTGGCATTGTGAGAGTTGTGTGTAAGATAAAGGGACTGAAGTTCACGTTTACATTGCTGCAGGGGCTGGTGCCTTTCAAGCTGGCTGGTACTTGGGGCGCATTCTCCCTTACATGGTGTGGCTCAGGCACATTGTTCTCCACTCAGGCATGAAGAGGCATTTGGAGTCTTCCATTCTCAGAGTCTTTATATTCTGCATCTGCTACTCCAGCTAATAGCTAGTCGTCATCTAATTACTGGTGCAATCTCCCTGCCAGGTAGGCTTTGCTTCAATTATCCTTCATGGTTCAAAATAACTTATTCACTTGGGAGCACGTTCCCTCATCTCTCATGCTATATTAAGTTTCTAATGGTACTGGATCTTCATTGCACTGTTCATAAGAGTAAAAAACTTTCTGTATGAACTTTTGGTTTGTGCGCTGTCTCTTCCTTGATAAAGGAATAAGGAGACACTTTATCTTCAGATCTCCAAAGTTACTAACATTAACTTTTCAAATGTTAGATTTAATATATTTTTCTAGAGAGTGAAGTCAGTTTACTATTTTCTGATAATCACTGTAAGAGCCACATGTTGGTGATTAGTGGGCTCTTTGGCAGCATGATGAGATTGGAAATAAGGAGGACATGGGTTTGAGAAAGTTTTTCCCTCAGTACTCCTCCTACCAGCCAGTGCTAGTGTACACAAACTCACTAACACTCTCATTACCACCAACTTTTTTTTTTATCCCAAGCATTAGACAATAGGTTGCCCACGCATCAGTAGATCTGCCCTTCCACACAGGATATGAGGGCAGGGGAAATTGCTATTACTATCTGCACTTAGCAGCTTAAGCCTGCCTAGAGTACACACAGCTCATCCTGACTTCAGACTAAGCTGAAAGGTGATTGCGGAACTCACTTGTGTTGGATCAAACAGTTTCAATCTGAGAAATAAGAAAATGATACAATTTTCTTTACCTTTCTTCCAAGAGAAGCTGTAGTATTGCCTAGAAAACATAAATCAGATGTGTTAGGTTGGATCCTGAGTGGGAGAGGACAAATCTACCCCTATTCAAAATCTTTCTGCTTCCGTGGATGTCTATGGCTGCTCCGCTGGTCTCTCCCACTTCCCACCTCTTCTTATTTCTGTCCCCTTTCAGTGGGATCTGAGTGATTCTTGTCCACTCCCCCCATGCTAAAATCTTTTTTAAAATTAAGTGAAAGTTTGATGATAACCAAAGTATCTTTATTGGATATATCAAAGAAATGGATTCATCCTGTTGAAAATTGAAATCCTTACTCACTATATGAAATGCATCAGGCTCTGCCCAAGTATCTTCTGAAAGCTTGTTAACCTTCTCACAATCAGTCGCTAGATCTTTGACCTCACCATTAGTGGAGTAAAAGTATTTTGATCTCAACTGAAAGATGAAAGGATGGAGTGCTTGTGTGAATGGCTATGAAAGAGCTACCACTGGCAGCAACTACGTTTTCTGATGCAATTGCATGTAAATGCCCTTTTATGAGTAATGTTTGCAAGGGAGGTTTTGCCAGCTTACCATCAGTTTTCAAAGAGCTTTTTCCCACAGTTATAAGATACTGAATGACCGTAAGTCCAGTTTCAGTTCTTAAATTTACAAATAATCAAAGTAAACACAGCTGGTCTTGCTGCCGTTGTAGGGGAGCTGGTAACTGCATGAGCTGACTGAAGGGAAAGGAAATTGATCTGATAGCACCCAAAGGAGGAAACATTAGTGAGAATTAATTCAGATACCAGAAGTCTCTGAAGGCATGGAGATTGCCTGGAATAGTCAGAATCTGATGTTATTGTGTCACACTGGGTTTTAGAAACTAAATGATGGACTGGCCAAATAGCTTAGTGGACTAAAGTGCCTGCAAGCAGGCACTGGGGCCAGAGGTTCAATCCCCAGGTCTTTGTGCTGCCCCTGCCCCCTGGGGTGTGCTGAGATGGTGACTGAGGCTGGGTGCAGTGGCGGGCACCTGTAATCCCAGCATTTGAGAGGCTGTAAGCAGGAGAATCACTGAGTCCGATCTAGTAGTGAGACCCTGAACACCCTGTCGACCCTTCCCTAAAATAAAAAAAGAAACTAAATGACTCCAAAAATTGATTAGCAGGTTCTCACTACAAGCGTCTATTTGTATTAATTAATATTCATGGGAAGGGAAAGGGGACCTCTGTTTCCCTAAATATTTAGCAAGTACATAAATGGTATTCTCAGCAAGACACTGATTCAGCTCTCAATAATTTCAACTACATTGAAGATCAGGTTGAAACTATTAATCACTTCCAATGATAAAAAAAAAAACTGATCTAAATTCTGTGGTTCAGAATTGTTTCCCAACATTTAGGCCTTCCATCTATTCAAGTAGGAGGAAAATATCCTTTGGAACATTTTGGAAATCAAAACTGAAGACATTTTAGTCAGTTAAACTATTCCTCTTACACAGTTGCTGCTATGCCTTCAGTATCTGTGTTATGCAAATCTATGAAAATTTAAAATTTATACATAGGCTAGAAGCATTTACAGTATTAGGATGGCATTTAATTATAGCATATGTTCTGTGAAAGCAAACACTAGAATGGTATTTAAGAATGAGCTATCCCTACTTTCTTTTTTCTACCATATCCTTGACAAAGGATTGTCTTGATAGAAAACCTTCCTACCTGCAGAGACTTCTGACTAGAATCAGTTCTCTCAATTTATATCAGCACTTTATATCATAATTTTCATCTGTTGACTTTATTTTGTCTCATTGAGAGCAAAAGACAAAGACCAGGTAATCTCAGCTAACAGTAGACTGTGTTAAATTCCCAGAAGATAGCATGTTTTGCAAGCCAATGGGACAAAATATTTTGCTTAAATTTCAAAACTATGTAGACACTTACCAGACAAAATGAGCAAGGCCAAGGCGCTAAGAAGAAAGATGTTCATTATCTTCATGGCTGAAGTTCTGTGTCCAGAAGTCAGTTGAAAACTCCACTGAATATACTACTTCTCTTGTGAACCCCGGGACTGAAGAGCCATATAGTCAGACGGCAATAGAGGCTCCACCTGCTGTGCTGTGTCACAGGTTACCTTGGTTATTGATTGACTCACTATGTTGGTCTGGTCTCCAGGTTTGGAAAATGCTACCTGGGTAACAAAGATGAAAGGAGAGAGTGGGCCTCAGATCCTATCAGGAAAATTCCTGGTGGTTAACTTCCTCTTTGATTACAGGAGAGTCTTTCCCTTTTTGAGCCCCAATTTTCTCATCTGCAGGACGAATGCAAGGATCCCAGCTACTCTGTGGTGTGGATGTGCCCAAGTACCTCAGATGTCCAGGAACACAGTCTAGCAAGGGCACGCCAGGGCACACAGCGCTACTCTGCCAAGAGGAGGGATAAACTTGAGCCATTCATAGGAAAATGGATGTGCTCTGAGATCATGTTAAGTGAAATGAATCAGACACACAAGTTATATATTATGTGGTTTCTCTTATATGATAAACAGGAAATAAAAAAATAGAAAAATAGATAATGGGAAATAAAGAGACTTATTACAAAAGATAAAGGTCCCAAGGGATGGAAGGGGACAAGAGACAGGGGAGGAAAAGCCAACCCCAAAAATAATTACAATGTATGGTGTACATGTATAAACTTGTTGCAGGGAATGTAATCATTATTCCTTGTGAATATGTACTAATAAGAAATGATGGGGGATTGGGGAGGTAGCTCAGTGGAATAAGTGTTTGCATTGTAAGTACAGGGTCCTGAGTTTGATCCCTGATACCATAAAAAAAACCCATAAAAATTGAAAAAATATTTTTGTAAAACAAAAACAAAACACAATGAAAAAAGATTAGACATTTCACTCAAAGCCACATACTGAGTATGAGCTAAGAGGAAGTACTCTGTCTCCACTCTGTCTCACCCTTCCATACGCCTGCTGGGTGCAGGCATCCATGACCTTTGCTTCCAATGAGCTTCTCCTAGGTGTTTATCTAACGAATGTTCTTGGAAAATAAAGCTTTGTCTGGTGTAAAGAGGAGAATTTTTTTTATTAACATAATAAAAAAAGACTATTTCTAGGGCAAAACTCGTGGATTTATTGGCCTTCGAAAAAGATCTGGGAATTTTATAAACTTTGACCTCTTTTTCTTGTAACACTATGTATTCTCTGTGCATCTCCAGCTTGGCCTTCTTCATGCCATCCTGTGAAAACCAGAGTTGGAGAAACCAGAGTAAATGCTGACACTCTGGCAAGTGCTGTGGAATAATTAAATTATCCTTGTCTCTATCCGAGGGTCTGTGCCTTCAGCCAGACTGAAATGTGGCTGACTGACCCGTTAGCTCCTTTGGAGGTTAAAAGCTCAGATCCGAACCAGGCTTTGGCATCTGCTAAGGAATATGCTCTTTCTAGCAAATAAAAACACTATGCAATATAATAACCATTGTTAATTTCTTAACATCTTGTTTTGAAATTCTGTATCATGTTCATTGTTTTATTTTTCTTCCTATATTATTTTATCAATTTTGCATGCCTACATCTGGTAATCTGAGCAAATAGTTTGAAGATTACAATATAAAATATAACCATTGTTAATTTCCTATCATCTTGTCTGAAATTCTATATCTTTTTTTCTTTGTCATAAAAAAGAGAAAAAAATGACCATGCCCATATCTTCGTGGTTTTATGCATTCCAGTTAAGGGAGACAAACAACAAAAGTAATAAATGATTTCAAATTGTCACACTATGAAAAATGTTATGGAACAAAGAACACAAAAGGCCAGACTTTGGAGTAGTTTATGATAGAGAATTTAGAAAAGTTACTGTTAAGTGACATCCAAGCAGGAGGTGAGGAGTAGAGGGACACCTGGAGTGTGCATTCCTGAGAGAGAGGCACTTATGAAGAGGCTGTGGCAGAAAAAAGCATGAGATACGAAACTTCCAGGCAGCTATTCTGACTGTAGAAAAGAAACAGAAATGTAGGAGATGAGACAGAAAAGAACAAGGGCTTGATTCATGAAGGGCTTTACAGGGCCTCCTGAGGACTTTGTTTCTAACTATTGGAGAAACTGAGGATGGGGTTTCTCGACACCTTCCTTTAGACACCGTATAGGCATCTCAAATCTAGAGTGTTCCACAGCACTATTTTGATCGTTTGCCACCATCAGTGTTTTTGTCTTCATTTTCCACTTTGACTCTTTTCCCTCTTGCTGACTGATGAGGGCCAATCCAAATCCTAAGTGCTCACCTTGACGCTTCCCTTTCTCTCTTCAACGGGCCATTTTTACACCTCATTTGTTGTCAGGTTCTCTCTTGGATTTATGTCTAAGATGGCGCCGGATTAGCATTTCCTCCATCTCCTTAAATATTTTCCAACACCTTTAGTTTTTTGCTTAAATCTCTCTCCTTAGAACACTCAAGTGATCTTCATGAAATGCGATATGAGCACATCACTCTCAAGCTTTTCATCATTCCAAATCCCTAGGAAGAGTTTGATTTGGGTTCTGCATGACTTGACTCCTTTCTTTGCCTTGTTTTATCTCCTACCAACCTCCTTCTTGCCCAGTGAACCAAGATACACTGGCCTTTTCTTTGTCCTGTCTTAATAGAACAGAAAATAAGTTTTTTAACTTTTAAGACTTAAAAGATGTTTTCTCACATAGCTATTTGGTTTTCTTTATTTGTGGAGTCTTCCTTTACTTCCTTCTTCAGTTAAAATTATCCCTATTACTGTATGACTTCATGATACTGGTACTTCATAGCACTCAACATGATTTCAATTGTATAGTTATTCGTATGACTGTTGTGAAATATTTCAACATTGAAGGAACAAATACAACCATTTTGTTTACTATAGTACCTAGCAAGGTATCTGGAAAATACTGGATGCTGCATACATTTTTGCAATAAGCATAAATTCAGTAATAAAATATATACTCATTTTCTGAATGACCAAAGTTTGTGCCTAATTCATCTCCATGCTTTTTGTACCTCCCATGAGTACTCATTTATTGGTTCATTCAGCTTTTTATTTACTCAATTACTGTTATAATCCAAATAGTTGGTGAGTGTCCACTGTCTCAGCTTTCTCTCTCCTGAGTGCTAGGACAATTATTGAGTTAAATGACAAATATAAATTAGTGGAGTTTCTTTTTTCACCTCAAACCATGATTTACATGGTAAATTTCTTGCCAGTAGAAAACTTACCATTGCCATCATCGAGGAGAGTTTGTATTTGATGAAAATATTATTTTCTTTGGTCTCATACACAGCATGTTAGAACAAGTTGGCCGGGCTCTTGTTGAAGAAAGTTGTGAGATAATAGCAGATGCAGAAATGACATTCAGATTCAGGCCTGCTTGATACCAAAGTCTCAGGTCATTTTCCAAACAGTGGTTTGCAAACATTTGACTATAAACTTAAAGTAAAAACAAAACAAAACAAAA